AGATTGCCCAACCTTCCTTCCGAGGAGTGGCTGGTGGGTTTGAACTGCCAGCCTTCTGGTTAGCAGTCAGGTGCCTTAGGCACTACGCTACCAGAGCTCCTGCCTTTCACAAAGCAAGTAGTTAATACATTTCTGGGGAAGGGAAGGGATAGGCAGGAAGGTGAGGGGAGGGGAGGGGAGAGAGAAGGAAATGAGGCTTAAAAATAAAATGGTTGACACAAGAGTGAACGCTGATGTAAACGGTGGGTTTCAGTTAATCATAATGTGTGGATATGGTTCACAAATGTAACACCGCAACGCTACATGTCACCTAGCCAGGAAACTGCCGGGAGAGAAGGGGAGTGAGCACGCTCTGTACTTTTGCAGGGTTTTTCTGAACATCTAAAACTGCTCTAAAAAGTAAAGTCTGTGTCTTAGTTACCCAGTGCGCCGTAACAAAAACACCACCAATGGACAGCGTTAACAGACACAACTTTATTTCTCATGGCTCCAGAAGCTGTGTCCAAATCAAGGTATCAGCCCTTGTTACCCAAAATGTGGGCTCGTGCCCGGAGCGATGCCTAGTCAGTCGGTCACACCAGGCGCACCGAGAGAAGGGGCCAGGAAGAGTTTAATGGCTTAGGCACACCCGGGGAGCTTCGGAAGCCCTACATATGGAGCATATGCATGTATGCACTTAAACACAGAGCTTACCTATGCAGAGAAAAAGCTTATGGTCATGTATACACACCCCGTGATCAAGGACTGGGTTCTTCGATCCATGAAAAGAACAAAGTAAGGCTACTGAGTTATGACTATAAAGTTTAATCTTTAGTTCTGGGAGCCATGACCCCAGGGGACTCCTCCTCCCCCAAATGTCACCTGCTGGGTCGTTGGTGCCCTTTGGTCTGCGTCTTGGGGTCTTCATGTTTCCCTCTGAGGAGCTTAGGAGCATTAGGCCGCATCCTTCCCCGTCAGTAGCCCTGGGCCCACCTTGGTGTGATAGTTGAAGTTGCGTATCAACTTGGCTCGGCCACGATTCTCATTGGTTCCCCCATGATGAGCTCTGATCCAACGTCATCACCTCCGTGGTGAGATCTGCTAGGAGCAGCCAATCCGTTGAAAGGGAGTTTCCTCAGGGGTGTGGCCTCTTTCTGACACGTGTATGGATCAGAACCAAACCAAACTCACTGCCCTGGAGTCGGATCTGACTCATAGCGACCCCTCCTTGGGTTTCCGAAGTATCACGACGGAAGTAGATCGTCCCAGGAAATATTCTCTGGCTTCTGCTGGGTCTCAGTCCTGCACTTGACTCATCTTTGTCTTTGGTTCGTGGACTTGGGCCAGTGGCCTGGTGTATCACCTGGTGATCATGGGGTTGTTGTCTTCACAGTTTGTGAGCCAACAATCTGCCATTTTACCTGCC